ACAATAAATCAAAAAAATTAGCCGGGCGTGGTAGCGCACACCTGTAGTTCCAGCTACTTGGAAGGCTGAGGCAGAAGGATCACGGGAGCCCAGCAGGTCGAGGCTGCGGTGGTTGGGAGCGGCCACTGCACTCCAGTCTGGGCGACAGAGTGAGACTCCAACTCAAAAAATAAAAATAAAAAAAATAAAAGGAACCCCAAAAAACTGGAATTATCTTTTGGAGGGCAGGCCCCCTGTAGTTTAGGCTTCCCCTGCTAGGTAAGTGTTCTAGGAACCCATCGGCATCAGTGGACCAGCTAGTGTTGTTGTGAGAGGCTGCGTTTGGCCTCAGTGAATTTATTATTATTATTTTTTGGAGATTATTTTCAACGAATTTGCTTTTGCTCTTTCCATGGTGGGTGTTTTATGAGTGCACCTGCCCATACCACACTGAATGTTCAGCAGTTTTTGATCAAAAACAGTCTGATTCCCATTCCCCGCCCCCCTCCGTATTCATCCAATCTTGCCCTGAGGGACATTTTTGTTTGTTTGTTTGTTTGTTTCCCTGGATGAAAGAAGTCCTCAAAAGGAAATGTTTTGCCAGTGTGAAAGATTGATATGGAAACAAAAAATGGCAGACAGAGCCATCCAAATTGATGAGTTCAAAAACTGGGGCAGTAGAAAAGGTGTCACAAAAGGTGTATTGCATTGAATGGAGAGTACTTTGGAGGTGATTGAAGTTTAAATATGTAAATACACAATTAAAAAAAAATATGTCTTTGGTTTTTTTGCCCCCCCCTTCCCATATATCTGAATATCTTTGCTCTAAAATTTTATAGTTGACTTTTAGAATTTCTTTTTTCAATTTTAATAGCTTCAGCGGGTACAAATGGTTGTCGGTTACATGGTTGCATTGTACAGTAGCATAGAAGTCTGGACTTTGCATGTACCCTCCACCCCCACCTGTGCATGTTTTACCCCATAGGTGATTTTTCACTACTCTCTGCCTCCCCACTCTCTTCCTTCCAATAACCATTATACCATTCTCTGTGCCTTTGCAGCTACTTAGTTTATCTTCCACTTATCAGTGTGAACATGTGGTGTTTGTTTTTTGTTCTAGCATTAGTTTACTTAGATTGATGTTCTCCAATTCCATCCAAGTTGCTACTAAAGACATTATATCATTTTTTGATGGCTAAATAATATTCCATAACACACACATACACACACACACATATATATATAAAAACATTTTTATTATTCATTGATCAGTGATGGGCATTTATGACTCAAATTGTTCTATTAAGCAGAGAGAAAAGTGATAGAGAAAGATTTGCTTCTTTTAAAACTATAAACATCATATGTATTTGGAATAGTGAAATTTTTATCAATCTTTTATGAATTCTTTTTCTAGATAGTTTAAACCTGGTTTCTGTGATTCTAACAGCACTAACTTTTCCTTCTGAGAAAATTCATCCTATGGGGAAACAACAACAGCAGAAAGCTTAGTTACAATACCCTGTGGCATGATCTACTCTAAATGGTGATAATTGGGCAGTTGTTACAACTGGAAAAACTCAAAAAACAGTAAGAGTGCATTTTATGTTAAAGTTACCATCTTGAAACCAAAAAGGCAAAACCTGAACCAGAAACACTTAAAATAAATCCCACATGTAAACACCTGCTGCTCATTTCCTTCTGGATATAAATCTAACCTGTTACTCCCCCGGTGCATAGACTACGACCTTGGAATTTACTGAGTCCCCCTGAGCCTATCTCTGTATTTGCAAGAGAGGCAACCACACATACTTCACAGCTGGCTGGTGAGCATGACATGACATCAGGCACATAACATGCACTATTCAGTGTCTGGCATAAATGCTACATTCCCAATATTAAGTACTGAGGTCCCACCACCAGGTCCCACTGCACGTAGGGTAAGTGCACTCCACTCCTGTGTTGATCTCAGAATTTCCCAAGAAGACAGGCGACTAAATAGTTGTGGGATCTGCATTGTAGTGTCAGAGGCTACAATGCGGAACACAATGCCACCGTATCTTCTCTTGAAAGACAGCTCATTGCTTTTTTAAAAATCTTAATTTTTATTTTTTAAATCCGAGGGGCTCCCAGGGCATGGCCTTGATTTCAAGGAAGACCACCTGCTTTCTTCAGTGCACCTCGTCTTAAGCCATTGGTTCTCAGATTTCAGGGTGCATCAGAATAATCCAATGGGCTTGTTAAAATGACACGTCCATAGGGTCCAAGAGAATCAAAGAATCTTTCTTCCTTTCTTTCTTTCTTTCTCTTTCTTTCTCTTTCTTTCTTTCTTTCTTTCTTTCTTTCTTTCTTTCTTTCTTTCTTTC